TGGTTCTCCTTTTCGACCGGAACATAGTGCATGCACTAATATTTGGCGACAGAAATATATAAGAGGGCCGTATATAATCTACACGAACTTCAAGGAAGAAAAAGGGTCGAGCAGCCCCTTGTGATATTCATTGCACTTTTTAAATTACAAACATTTATACCCAAAACCCAACGGAATTTACAATGAAATTTTTAGTAAGAATTTTATGCCCCGCTGAAACCCGACACGTGTAGCTTATGAAACAAAATGGCACTGTTTAGTATTTGAGTGTTTTTTTTTAATAGAATTAGAGTGTCAATCGAGCACACAGCCAACCTTCTGTGCCCCATAGACATCTACATCTATCCTCGATTACGAAACAAAATGCAGAAACGTTGTCATCCCTAAGAACAAAGATGGAATGCTTCGTATGCAGTAAAAAGGGGTCTCCGGTTCTCTACACTCACCATACGAAATACAGCAGCATATTTTACGTTGGTATTATGTGAGAGCGTAGTCCTTCCTCGGTTGAGCCGACCCTTTCGTACTACAACAATAATCTAGCTGCAGCATAGCTTCACCACGTATGTAAATGCGATGAAGTAATGAGGTCTTGCAGACTTACGAAATGGTACCTTTATGTACCTATTCCCCGGATTTATAGAAGAATATAGACACTATCCATTTTTTACCTATTACTAAATAATATACATGCCTTGTCAATCTTGACATATTCAAAAAGGAAATCAAAATCCGGTTACATGTAACATGGTGATGTTACCATGAAAATGTCATAATTCGACTTTTAGTTTAGTGCAATTTCCTTTTTATTGCTTTGAAGTTGTCTGTCACTCATTGGAAACTAGCATAATAGTTGTGTCTATGGTTATTATGTATCACATTTACATAAAGTATGGATATTACGTAAGTATATCTCACACATTGACCGAGCTTCCTGCTTATATTTTTTATGAGCGCGACAATGACAGAGTTACAAAAAAATCGCTAAAAAGCAAAAAAAAATTAAATTTCATTTCTAACCACTAAGCTATAGGAAGTAAGAACAAATAATTGTGTTTTATTTAGACTTATACACGAACGTACCGAACCGAAGACATGGCAAAAACCGTAACAAATAATATAAATCGAAAGCTCTTTTTTAAATCTCTCCCTCCATTGAGAACGCTCTTCTTTTCTCTTTGTCTCGTCTAGATGCGCCGGATTTTATGAAAAAATCTTATTATGTTTTTGATATACTTAATTTTTTTTTGAATCGAATGAAAAATGAGGTCTTACAGAGTTTAATTACAATAGCAGATGATCATCATCATGCCTGTATTAAAAAAGTAAAGTAAAAGTTTAGTGTGCAAACGCCATAGTAAACATTACTAATACTTTTACAACTATAAACGCAACGCAAGCGAAACCGTAAGATTACATCCAATACGTATATCTAATAAAGCAAACTTTTAGTTATAGGATAATAGTTATAATGTTGAATATAATTTTTTAAATTGCGATCGATGAAAAGAAGTTACGAAACTCACGCAGCTATTTGGTGACTGACACGACCCCAAAGACTATAATAACTGTCGTATACAGGGTGCACGACTTTATACTACTTATAATCAATTCAATCGATTTTCTGTATTTCTTTTTAATAACTTTATTTTTTTCAATAATTATAATAAAACAATTTTTTGTTTTTAGTAGTTCTTAATTCTTATTTTAAAAGCCTACAGGAATATAATTTTTAACTTCCCGCTAAGAAAATATTAAATTTTCTAAAATCGAGATGTTATTGTTTTACCCCGCTTTTCGAAAATTGAGTTTTCACCAAATCTTGACGTTTTGAGATCACAGGAAGCCAACCTGACAATTTTTCGATGCGATTCCGTAATTTGCTGATAAGGGGCTATGCAGCCCCTAATCATCAAATTACGGTTGATTGCGTGTTAACCTTCTCAGCTTCTGACATACCCACCGATCTAGATATCGCTTCTGGCGTTAAATGACGACGTGACATGACGCTCGGCATCACACAAATTAGAAGAAAGTAGTGATAATTGTTTTTCACAAGAAAAAATTGAAAACGGATAATAATCTCAAATTCATACGTCAGAAAATTCCGTACAATGCGAGAGCGACCTAAATTAAGTTTTCGTAGCTTTTTAAATAGCGGTTTTAAGTTTTAATTTTCGAACAATTGATTAAAATGCAATATTAACTTTTACAAATTTCACTGGCCCTTACTTTTTCTAATGCATTTTCTTACATAAGTGTATATAATTAGCTTGTTCCCTAGACTTTGTTAAGGTTGTATTTTCACCGTATAAACTAGGTACTTATGACCTTTACTTTTAAGAATCGCAATAAACCGCGTAGCGTTACAAGCTCACTCACAATACATTAATTATGTGAGGTGACCGCTTACATTATTGGCGATATACAGCTATCAAAGAGATTGAGAGGAACAAATTTCAAAACTTGTAACCTTTAAACATAGTGGAAAAAAAACGTTTATAACCAGGTCATTGGCAAGAGAAATGAGTACCGTCAGCTACATTAAATAGATGTTATTCGAGTAGCGACGAGTGTGAACGTACATCATGAAAGGCTATATCATCTAGCTTTGCTAAATTTTTGTACCACCAATATCTATATTAAGTAATACGGTTGAAGTACAGTACTCGTACCAACAGACCGGTGTAATGTAACTAAGCAGACGTGGCTAACTGAGTGAAATTCTGAAACTCGGTAACTCAGGCGCAGTTTACTACGCCGGCTCATTGCATTGCTCAAAATTGCACCATGGCGTTACGAATATTAAACATCTGTTAACTCATCTATCAAAATATAACCGTGTGGCCAGTAAGGAAAATTAATTGTAGAAAACAAAGATTACCTACATATTAGGTACTATGTATCACTGCTTTTACATTTCATGGAATCAAAGTGTATAAAAATAATATAAAATAACAACAAAATCTTCACATCTTTCGAACTTCCCGGTGCTGCGCTATGCGCCATCACATTTTGAAGAACTGTCACGCAGTGAACTGAGCGCAATTGCGCGGTGCAGCGCATGTCTTTAACTAACTTGATTTATGAACTCATTAGTGCTGTAACGGCCATTTCGTTGGAGACAACGTTGACGATTTGTAAAGGCTTGGGCCGTTTCTACAAACTTACGTCACACAACGAAGTGTTGTATATGCCGCGAACGCTTTACAATTTTAGACAAAAAATTTCTTAAGAACAGCTTAGTGATAATAACAAAGAAAGTAATTTATGGTGTGGTTACATGTTCGCATGCTTTGGAGAATAAGAATTCAGTAATGAAATTTAGAAAAGACAGCTTAGCTGCTTATTCATCTGTCAATACAAATTCTGACGAATATTTTGAAATGAAAGATGCAAACAACTGCCTCATATTAAAAGAAGCGATGGAGTATGTATGATATATTGTAGTATGACAGGTATATATGCAACCACAAAACCACTGAACCAATCTGTGCCTGATGTACCTAACACTGATAAGATCAGGGGTGGTCTAGGATGCAGTTTTAAAGACATGGAGACATGGGTAATTTGTGTTTTTGTTCAAATCTTGTCCCAAACTAGGATCTGGTATTGGAACCCAGATCCGATAGTCGTAGATGTCAGATAATCCAACGTGTTCTTCAGTTAGAATTAATAAGGTAGTAGGCATCTATGGTTCTAATTGTAATCAAATCATTAATGTTAACATCTAAACCAATCGCTACGACATCAATCGCGATGTGCCCTAGACCTTATCAAACTGAGGTCGATTTCTATTATCTCTTCATCATAATAAAAAAACATCCCACAAGAAACATCCTACAATGGCTCGTATAGCCTTTTATTTAGTATAGAATTTTCTCAATCATCTGGTAGTTACATCTTGTATGATGCTTATTTGTGAAATTACACATAAAATTCACGTATTAAGCGATTACTTATGAGTTTCTTAAGTTTCATAAAAATATGATTTATTTTTCGCATTTATATGCTGTTAATATAACTATTTGGTTTTTACTTCTTAAGCAATCTATAAAACACTGCTGCTAAATAAAATTATTCTCCTGTTTTAGGGATGAAATGTCATAACGCATTGCAGGCGGATGGGCGTTCGTAGTGTCAGAAGTTTCGTATCTTTGACGCTGCACTCCGACTAGAGCATGCAATGCCGCAATATATTTTCAATACCGCAATATTGCGGTATCGTAACTCGCGCATATATGATATTGCGAAATTAAAAAATTCTTTAATGGTGGTTTAACTAAAACAATAACATGAGTAAAAAAAAATCTTTAATGGGGGTTAAATTAAAACTAACATGAGATAACTACAATTAATCCCACATACAAACCTAATCTTAATTTTTGACTTGAAAGTGTTTAGGTAAAAAGCAAAGCTTATCCATTGTCTTATCATTTAAAGAACTAATAATATTATTACATATGTATCCACCAGCCGAAAACGCTCTCTCAGCTTCTACACTCATTGGTGGAATGCTTAGAAAATCAGTATCAAATCGAACTTAGTATTGGTGGAATTGAACTTTCTATGCAAACTCATGAATTCTGACCTGAGCTTTTTATTAAGTTCATCTCTCAGAGACAGGGAAGATGAAATCGAGGCTGCAAATTGATTTTCTCTGGTACGTGACGCGAAGTTCGATAACGGTTCATGGGCATCAGCAAAAATCTTGCTTATCACACTTTGCTGATCAGATTCTGGACAACATTCTGTCATTCTGTCATCAGTTATGGAAGCGGATTGATCCAATCTTTTTAACAAGTTTATCATTTTAATTTTAATTATGAATTTGCTTGGCAATGCAAAAGTATCATTTAAGTCGGTATCATTCAAATCACTTAGATATTTGTTGTGATAGTTGTTAGTTGGTTTATTCTGACACTTAATGATGAGACTATTTTTTATGATAAGCTTGTTTTCTGTTACCGTAATTAATCTATTGTAAAGCGAAGGGTTGTTTAAGCCGTAAACAGATTAGAGTCTTGTCGGCATAACACTTCTACCGCTAACTTGATTGGCTGAAGAGCTCTATCTATATCGCTCATAATGTTGAATTCGTCTTCTGTGATCCAATAATCAGATCCAAATTCTAGATCAACCAAAACCTTGGAGATACATGATCTCAGTTGATTAAATCTCTCTACTCTATCAGATAATGCCAAACTACAACGAGTTCTGCAATCCAAAGAAGATTTAGTTCTTTTCCAAACTCTTGCTTTACGTATTTCTGTAGAAACGTTGTTTTCGTAGGAGATCTTTTAAACATAATCACAACTTTGCGCATTTTTTATTACGTTTTATATTCTGACAATTAAATTTCAAACTCTTCCGTACTCGCTTTGGTAGTTACATGAATTCATCAACGGCATCGGACTCTTGATCAAAATCTTCATCAGCGCCATTAAAGGCTTCTACGTCATCATTATTAATATTGATTTCTGGTATAGTTTCATTCTCATACGAATAAATTACGTCCAATATTGCAAACATTTTGCATGTCACTTGCGCCTTCAGTGGTTATTGAAACTATATCAACATCTAAGTCCACATTGAATGCTTGCAATTTATCTTTGACAAATTTTATACGTGATTAAGCTAGTAAACTTCCATACATACGAACTAATCCAATATTGCAAAATAATGATAATTTTCCATTAATAACTGCATGCACATTTCGATTTAGGTGCCGCCTATTACGATTCGACGCCCATTCGTCGAAAGCAATACTCAATATCTGGTTATTTTTTTATAATATAAACTGTTGAATTAAATATTTTTTAATTTCAGTGTCATATTTCATTAACATATCTTTAATGGAATTAGGGAATTGAGGAACTTATATCCCACTTTTACAAACAATAACTGTATATCTTCTGAAATAACGAACACTTGATAATCTATATTTTGCTACCATACAGGACACTTTCATAGAAAGAGAATCAGATTTCTCCAAATAGTGTGATATCTTACTTTTTTGCCAATGGTTGAGGTAGTTTTTCAGTGTAGTCATCTTTGTCGTTGTCGCATAAGGTTGGGGTTGTAGCTGCTACTTCAATCGATTAGCTGCGACTCATGGTTGGTTGTGCGCCAGAAAAACTAATTCGGATATCACTTCGGTGTTAACATTTAGAGCACCAATTCCGTGCTTAGTGCGTAAATGAACATGTAGACCGCTTTGTCTACACTTCGCTGATTGACGATCTGTAGATGCCAAAAATCTTTCCACACTGTGTCAGAACTTTTGAAGTCTTTGAATTCATCAATCATTAATTATAGTTGTAGTAAAATTTTTACATTTGTTTTTTTACGCAAAAAGTCTATATCAAACTCAGGATTTCACTTACTGAGACACATAATATTTAATCTGTTACTACAAAAGTATATTTGTTCACTTTCGGGAATTCCCTGACGCACGCACGAGCAACATGCGACGATTCGTAGTGAGGATTTACCCATCACGGATGAAATTTGCATTTGTAATCTCGCTTTTGCAGTACTGAAATACAGCATGAAATTGGCGAGACTGCGATAACAATATAACGAAATCGCATACTCTAAATCCGACACATATTTAGCTGTTTGCCTAATTTTTACTTCTATTGAACGTTTTATGATCGTTGAGCACATTCAAAGTCACCACATGCGACAGCGGTGGTAGAAAATTCGACAAAATTTCTCACGTAATTTTTTCTTGAAAATTAAATAAAGTTCAGTTAAATAAATTTTTGGTAGTGTCCAAAATATTACTCTTTCAGTTCCATTTTCTTTTGCTCCACCCGTCTTTGTCTGACCAGGCTGGATGAAGTTTACGGCATATAGACATGTCAATAATAATGTACTCGTATTTTAAGCAACGACGTATTAAATTATATACAAAATGTTTATTATATATACTATCTATATTATTTTGCTACTACCACAATTCCTTCATTAATAATAAGCAAAAAATTTTAATTCACATTTAACACAATTTTATGACTTAAATGAACTGCGAACTTCTATTTTTAAATACATAACCAAAAATCATGTAGAATTTGTTAGAGATTGCGTTATAGAAACTAAAAGACAGTTTTACGCCCGTAGATATGTATGCAGATATATACATATATGTATATTATAACACCAATGATTGTTATTGACCATTGTTGGTGATTGCTAACCTCTGCCAAAAGCATTCTCATATCACGGTCATATCTTCCACTTTGTTTCATTATCTAAAATCATAAATATTGCCAGCCTTTGTCTCTGTGTAGTTTCCGCACAAAAATTCTCAGTAATTGCTTTCCGTTCTAAGATTATAGTGAATGATATATTATGACAAAAGGAAATGCTTTTTTAATTGAATTCAATGACTTACAGTTTCGAAATTCGATGATAAAAAGACAGTTAAAACTTAAACTTCAGTTCTACTGTTAGTAAATAATTTTAAAACAAATGGAATAGATAAAGTTGATTTGTTAAATAAATTTAATAATTTTTTGTAATTTTTTTATAGCTTAAATACACTAAAAACTAAATACATGAACAAATAAAAATTTTGTTTTGGGTATCGTAACGTAAATATGAATCAAATTGACCTACATGTTATAAACATAAATTTACGCTAAGCGTTATGTAATGTTAGATAAGTCTCCAATTATTCTAAATGTTTTGATTAAAGCAATACAGTAATTTTCATATTATAAAAGCTTTTTGCTGTTTGCAAAAGCCACTCGACCTTGTAATCGTTCAGAAACAATAGCAACTACGGCTAACAAAGGTATTTCCAGTAATTATATGCAAGTTATTTATTATGTGCAGAATTTCAATTTACATCATTGGTTTAAATATATAATAAATTGCGTTCCTGGTGTATATAAGTCACAAGCGGCTCGTTCCGATTTGGCACTGTATCAAGTGTCCGGTAATGAATGAATAACCTTGAAGCAGCATATATATACTACATAGCTTATTACCTTTCTTAAAATACAGAAGAAATATATCTCAATTAGAACCCAAAATATGACTTTTCAGAAAGAAACTAACTCTTTTACCTTAGTTTTACATTTTTCTTTACACTAACACAAACGACTGAATTCCTACGGTTATTAACCGTTGCAATTTCAGCCTGCTAAGTCCACTGCTGAACATAGGCCTCCTCCCCCCATAGATTGCTTCATAGAGGGAATATTTGCCATTTGCGGGTTAGCTGTCGCAGTTTATTTTTATTTATAATCGTTATTAACAAAACTCTGCTGCCCGTTTTCTAATTTGTTTCTTTGTTTCCTCTTACGACAGCCACGGGATGATATGGGGTAGTGGATATTCTTACAAGAGCCGTGGTAGCTCAGATGGTTAACGCTCGCTGTAAATACAACAGAATGCGAGTAACCCGGGTTCGAGCCCCGCCGGCACCAATGAAATTGTTAATTTGCAATTTTAAGTGCTGATTTACCACGTGCTCGGCGGTGAAGGAAAACATCGTGAGGAAACCTGCATGTCTGAGGAATAAGAAAAAAAATATTTCGAAGACATGTGAAGTTCGCCAACACGCATTGGGGCAGCGCGGCGGACACTTCCTTGCCCTAAAACCCCCTCAGAAATGAGGGGAGGCCTGTGCCCAGCAGTGGGACGTATATAGGCTGTAACTTTACTTTTTTACTTTATATATATATATATATATATATATATATATATATATATATATATATATATATATAACACTCATCAAATAATCATAACAATTAGATTTTAAATTAAACACCAGTAGTCAGATACAATTTAAAGTTTAAATATGTTCCAATAGACAAAATTTTTACTAAATTACATTTGTCAAAGTTAACTCCTTTTGCACATAAAAGCATTAATTAACCACCTACACTAGATACCTACAATAGTGAATTATACTTTTTAAAATCTCCATTAAACGCACATTCTTTTAAAATAATAAGTTAATCACTTAGTTTTGCATACATTTTTTACACCCAAGATTGTTAAACAAAAGATTGTTGTTGTGATATTTTTTTAATTTAAAATACATAATATGCTGTTTATTTACTACGACTTAATCGCAAAAAGGCAACATTTTTCTACTACCCTTACGTTATGATTATGTACAGATAGTAGAAAAATGTTGGCAAAAGCTCTAAGCTACATTATTTTCGCTTATATGTAACCGAGGACACAGCCCTAAAAAATTAACTAACTTTTTATTGGTCCATTTTTAAAATATTTTCGGCAAACCAAACATGTACAAGTAAAGCTTAATAATATATCCCGTAGGGTGACACTTTTACGATTTTAAATGTCAATACTACTACATATACAGAATATAGAAAACATAATTAAGAGTCTAACGAAGTCGCGAGCTTTTCCACTGAATTTTATTTTAGAGTGCTTTTAATTTTCTATTACCTACATGGTATAAATAACGAGTATAGGCAAAATAAATTCGAACGAATTTGGATTTAAAAACAAGATCTAGTTAAGATAAAGCGCTATCAGCGCCATTTGGCACACATACGACTTATTATCTTACAGTCAAGTTTTTGACGCCTATGCTTAGAATTAAAAACAAAATCGCAAAGAAGTTTAAAAAAAGGGGTAGGTCTCAATTCGACTGTATGTTTTTATATTTTGTGATCCCGTTTTAATGACTTTTTGTTAAATAAGTTATAGGTTATCGGGAGCGGTCTCATACAAAATTTCAAGAAAATTCTACCCCTAAGGGTGGGAAAATGGGGTCAAAAGTTTGACATATATCTGGTATTTTCTGCCTGAAAGATTTATGTTAAGGAGCACCATTTTTGGTGGAATGGGAGAACTCTTCTAAACAATATATGGCAAAAAAAAAAATAAAAAACCTATTCATAAAAATAATTTGGCAGTTTATGTAATTTATTACTTACTAGCGAACTGCTCCGGCTTCGCACGATGATATCTCACGATACGTGTATCATTTGATATATTTTCTTATGATAAAACAGAGTTGAAGGGAAGTATTTTTTGTGAAACTGGACGTACAAAAATTATTAGCATACTTTGTATTGCTTAAGAAAGTAATGCTCAGCGCTCTCTAATCACACTTTAACCAATACAGGAAAAATGCCGTCGAAAAGTCATTTCTTTACAGAAATATGTTTTAAAAATAACATTAATCGCTCACTATTTTGCTCGTATGATTGCTATTCGAATTTCGAATATACAATACCAGACATTTTTGGAGTTTAGTACGACATACAAGAACGTTTCTATAAATTTGCTAGATTTCTTTATATAAATCGGCCTAAATTGCTTGCTATAATTACAGTTTAACATTACTGAATTAATTATCAAATCAGGATTGGCGCATTAAACATATGAGGTAATCATAAATTAGGTGATCTTATTGGCATGCTTGGGTTTGCGATGTGAATCAGTTATAATATAACTTTGGATAGAACTTACCATTGCAATGATTTTATCTTGCTCATATTTATTGCAATATAAGGTGACCTTATGAAAAATGTATT